CTAATTTTGCATTAGCCATGTGGACTGTCGGATGGTTTCTGCTGTATTTTGTTGCCCTTTCAAATATTTCTTAAATAGAAGATTGTACCATCTGGTGGACAATCTGCCTGTGTGCTATCTCACCTATCCCAGCGTGGATTCTACTCCTATTAGAGAAGGAGTCAGGGAGAGAGGAGAAGCTGATGCTAGAACACTGTCTCCGGCTGCCTGCAGCCCTCTGTCCTTGGTCCTCCCCCTCTCCCAGTGGCCTGGTTCTGCCTGCACAGCAGTCAGGTTCCAGGTGCTGAGTGGATATTTCTTCCACTCACTCATGGCCAGGCTATTACTCACGGGGCTACGGGGAGCAAATGTCTCCATAGATAGACCTTTCTGACCTGTGCTGACATTTTACCTACATAAGCATCAAATGGTTGGTACAGCCACATTGTCTAAGTTGTAGAGAGACTGTCTTGGACTCAGTTAAATTCCACACTTAGAATCTCTTCTCTACCAAGTAAAAAAATATTAATGGTTCATAAAGAAGGAAAGAACATACAAGTTTATTAAGGGAAAAGATAGATGGATGGATAGATAGATAGATGGATAGATAGATAGACAGACTGACAGACAGGCCGGCCTATAATCATATGCCTCATGGACCTTGACATGAAGGCTGTTAGCATATTCACCTTTTATTCAATCTTAGAAAGCACCAATCATGCCTGGGGGAAATGTAGAATTGGTGTGTTTATTAGAAGAAGACATGATTAGTGGTAGCATCAAAGACTTGAGAAACCTTGTTTGGTGAGAACAGAAGTATACCTTTTCTTCCATGTTTTCCACTTAGAGGTGAGCAGTGTGGTCTTAGCAAGACCCATGGCAGAATCCTAGATCATCTTTCAAATTGGCAATTCTGAACAGTCAAGAACGGGAAATCTCGAATTAAACGGCCTGAGATCAGACACGGGCTCTACCTACATGAACAAATGGGACAGCATCAGTTTAATGATCCTTAAACTTGTGCTGTAAAATGAGTGTAAAAACAGTAGCTACTTCATGCAGTTGTTTGATTCAAAAACCTGTAGAACTTCACATATGGCAGGACACCGTCCCAAGCACGTGGAAATAAATGGCTCCCCCTCTCCTCAGTGAGCTCATACCCAGGCCCAGGGCCCATTCCGAACTGTGTAACTGTCTGCAGCCTGTTGCCTGGTGTGACCGGAGATGGTCAGTACGACCCACGGTCAAACTGAGAAGCCTCAGTTTGGCTCCCTTTCCTCCTTTGTTACTTAAAATAAGGCAGAGGATAAGCAATTTGCCTGACCGACAGGTAAAAATGGTCTATGTTGCTTCAAGTTAAGATGGTATCTGACTAGTTGCCTCATATAACTTCCTCTGATATCTCACTAAAATAAACATGAAGACATATTAAAAAAAAAAAAAAAAAAAAACTAACCACAAAACCAAAATCTAGGTTCAGCAGATGCCCTGTGGTCAGAATTCTAATTCTCCTCAATATGGATTTCTACCGATTACAAGGTTGATGGAACCGGAGGTAGAAGACAAGTTAGTGGCCTCTCCCAGTTTTTCTCACGCACAAGAGTAGCCCCATCCACCCAGAAGACCAGAAAATTCTTCATTTCTTCCTTGGCACCTTCCTCCTCACTTACGCTTGTTCACACCAAAAACATGGCAACCCTTTCTCTAATTACAACCGATACTTTGTGAGATAATAATCCAAGCCAACATTTACGAATCAGTCACAGTATGGCAGCCGTCTACGAAGCACTTCCTATGAATTAATTCATTCAATACTCACCACAAGCCAATGAGGTAAGCACGTCAAGACTACCCCTGAACTTGAGGAGATAGAGGCAAAGAAAAGCTGAGTCACTTCATCAGGGTGTTAGAGCTAATAAATGGTGAACTGAGATTGGATCGAGGAAAACTAGCTGCAGAACTTGTGTTTGTGATGACGATACATGACTCAGTCGGTCTCATGGTTCTTTGTATTAGTCATCTTTTTGTTCCTGTGACCACCATGCCTGACGAGAAAAACTTAGAGGAGGAAATGTTTATTTTAGGCTCACAGTTTCACAGGCTTTGTTCATGGTAGGCTGACTCCATTGTTCTGGGCCTGAGGTAAAGCAGAACATCATGGTAGAAAAGTGTGGCAGAGGAAAGCTGCTAGGCTCAAGGTAGCTGAGAAAAAGAGACAGAGACAGAGACCAAAAAGAGAGAGGGCCAGACAAGATATATAACCCCCAAGGTCATGCCTCCAGTGATCTTCTTCCTCCCGCCATGCCCCACCTAACCAGTGATCACTCAGTAGTCCCTTCAAATTATTAATCCATCAAATGGATGATCCCGCTGATGAGGTCACGGTTCTCATAATCTAATCCTTTCACCCCTGAACAATCTTGCATTGTCTATTGTACACACTTATTGGTGGACACCTCATGTCCAAACCATGATGTTCCTCATATTTCTAGATTCATGCAGAGATTTGGATAGATAGATAGTAGATAGATAGATAAAATTCACGATGCAAATTGCATATTGGAAGACACAGCTCCTACACATAAAGGAACACGGACAAGGCAGAGATTACAAATAGCCTCGGTTTCAGCACATGCTTGAAAGTCTAGGTTTTCCTCCACTCCAAAGATTCAGAATACAGGAGAACTAGGCACTGAAGTAAGGGAAGATCTCTGTTAGGCCCAGCAAAGCCTTGCTAGATGAAGGCCTAAAGTTATGAACATCAACCTCTCCTCCTACTTCAATCTCAGTCAACAGTGGACAGAAGTAGAATCAGGGGAAATCCGCAAAACTTTTTACTTGGTTAGTGCTTATTCTGAGTTAATCTGGATTTCTTTGAGATCCAAGTAAAGACAAAAATTTTTACCTACAAACAGTAGAAAATACTCAAGATTGAAGGATGTGAATATTCCCCCAAGAGACTTAAAGGAAAGGAAAATATGAAAACCACTTACTCTGAGGACCAATAGAAACTTTTGGAAAACTCTTCACAGTAGGATTGAAAAAGTTATGCTCTCCATGAAACAGCAGCTGAAACGCAGAATAGATTGGCATGAAAATTAAGCTGGATACCACAAAGAAGAACTGTCAGGGAACCAAGTTTGAAATAGAAAAATAAAATATAATTTAGAGAGAGTACAGAGCAGGTCTGACACTGCCAAAAATAAAATCAGTGATGTGGAGACCGAGCCTGATGATTCATTCACAATGCAAAGGAAACGAAAAGAAAAAACAAAAAGTGATGAGAAATAATATAATACATAAGGCAGAACCAACACAGAGCTGGAATTTGGGAAGAAAAGATGGTCCAGAACAAGAGAAAACAACCAGTGCCAAAGAAATAATTAAAGTTTTCATAACTAAGTTTGCATGTCACCAGGACTGATCAAGACAAAAATTAAAAAGAAATAGCCCAGGAGCAATAGAGCATGGGGGGGGGGGCGTAAAAACAAGATGGCGAATAAGAGACAGAGAGAAGCTAAGGGGAAAAGAGAACCAGAGGAAATGAAGGGACAAATAAAGAATAAAGTAAAAATGTGGAATTACAAGCAATCAGTTATTCAGTCATTCAAGCATCTTTACAGAAGAAAGAGGCCACCCTGGCAGTGGACACAGCGCTTCCCTGCCCACATAGCCCCACCCTCAGCCTCCCACTTCAATGACTCCAGCCTGATTTCTAATTGCCAACTCCTTTCGCCAGGCTTTCAATGACACAATAACGGTTTTGCCTGCCCTTGCAGATGTGTGTTGAGTGCTGAGGAATTAATAACCCTCAGAAGCTGCATTCAACCACCGAAAAGCAGGATTTGGTGGTTAAATGCCAGGACTCACTCCTTTCATGACAGGTTAACTTCAAGAAATGTACTTTTATTGCCTCTCAGAGTGTTCAAGCTCCTGGTGTGTGCAAGCTCCAGGTGTACACAGTGGTGTCTAGCTCTCTGACACACTCCTTACAATGCACCCTTTATTGGCCACCTTCCTTTATGCCTCACCTCCTCTCATCTCTTGTCTTCAACCCCCAAATAAGCTGCTTGCATTTGAACTCCTGTCTCAAGTCTAACTTTGGAATTCAAAATAAGATGCCTCCAATGGAGAACCAAAATTGTGCCAGATTGCTCTCAAATGCTGACTGTCGTGAAACTACAGTGCGGTTTCTTAAGGTTTGAGGAGAATGATTTGGGGCCCTTGTGTCATGCTTAGCCAAGTTGTCATTCACACGTGACAATCACAGAAAGACACCGATAACCAAACAAGAGCTCGGAAAGTTCTCTGCCCCAGAACGTTCCTTGAAGACTTCCTCCAACCTTTAGCGAGGTGGGTCAAAGAAATTCAAGACTGAGGAATTTGTGGTAGTCAGCGGTTCCCAAATCCTAACAAGACAAGCTTGTCACCTTTCACATTTCCACCACTGCTTTCTCGTCTTGAAAAAATATTTTAAATCATTTTTCTCATGCTTCATGTTTTGGAACCTGTTATTCAGGGAATGACTCCCATAATGGAATTCCGCAGGGGAGCAGGGTGTGATAGACATAAAAACAGATGATAAATATTGGATGCTCACTGGGGTCTGAGACTATGCTAAGGACTTTACGTACAGTATCTCACTTAATTCTCACAATAACTTGATGAGATAGGCTGTTGTATTATCCTGAAAAAGGAAATGAGCCACACACAGTTTGCTTCCCCATGATGATAAAGGGCTCTAAGTAGCTGAGTGGATTCAGACCCAGGAGTCTGGCTCTGGGATTCTTTCTTAATCACTATACTTACCCTTTATGATTCTTTAAGGAAACTCCCCCAATTAAACACAAACCCTAATTCATTCTCATTCATTCTCTCTCTCTCTCTCTCTCTCTCTCTCTCTCTCTCTCTCTCTCTCTCTCTCTCTCTCTCCCCCCCCCCCCCATTGAGAAGAAGAACTGTGTTCAGAAAATATAGCTGGGTGTGATTTCTTTCATCTTTTATTTTAAAAGTTACAGTAAAATAGAGGGGAAGTTTGTGTTGACCAAATAGATAAGCCTGTGCTGGTCTATAAGCTCTTTTCAAGAACAATCTCAAAATGGCAGTCTGATTGATGAGTCGCACCCGCTCAAGAACAGAGGTATCCAATAGAACTCTCCATGATGACATAAATGTCGCAAATCTGCACTGTCCAGTGTGGTATCCGGCAGCCACATGTGGCTATTGAGTACTTATAATGTGCCCGGGGGACAGAGACATTAATTTTTAATTTTATGTAATTTTAATTAAGAGAAATTTAAATTTGAACAGCCACGTGTGGCTGACGCCTACCTCAGGGCTCCGTGCAGCTCTAGAACCCTGAGAAACAGGAAGGGCTTCCAGGCTGCCCCATTATCTTCCATCCACGTGGCACCAGCTGGAGAAATTCTGCCATTAACTAAAGATGGAGACAGAGAAGTTGTTCCAAAGATCTTGAAATAAGAGATGGACCCTCTGGCTCAGAGGGAGGCATATTCACACTATCTTGGTGGCTTTGCTTGCAAGATGTTGCTGGTGTTCTCAGTCCCTCCCCTGCCCCCAAAACACACTAACACAATATCTTCCATACCACAGTATTCACCCCAGGGTATGCAACAGTGAAATTCTGCAAACATTTAATTTGCATTGCATTTTAAAATATGCTTAGTCACTCATAAGCATAAAACACTGAAATGATGTGGACAAATCTGTGACTTCTATCTGTAGCCTGGTATTACCAGGTTAACTTGTTTTATGCCAACTTTGCAAACTCTTCTGGGACCACCTTCTTAAAGATGTCCTAAGGTTGTAAGGTTGTAAGACTATAAGGTATATTTAATAAGAAATCAAACATCTTTCCATTTCACTCTACTGAAATGACTGAATCAGAATTTCTCTCCACACTTGGTAACCAAAACAAAAATTCATAAAGAAATTGAGTAATGAGGCTGGTATATCACAGAACAACTGTCACCCCTAACTCTCATTTTCAGTTTGTTTGTGTTCAACCAAAGAGCCCCAGAATTTTCTTTGAATGCTTTTAAAATAAACTAATTTTAAAGTTATAATGGCATCGATTTGAAAACTATAAAATATATTCAAGATATTCAAATATTCCTTTTGCTCCTTTGTATACTAATGCTTTGTACACTAAATGCCACATAATGTTTTTTTTTGAAAAGACAATATTTTGTTACTTAATATATATTTTTAAAAAGTCTGACAATCACTGGGCATGCAGGCAGGTGTCTGATAAGCAGCAAGTTCCTCCTCATGCCTCCATTGAAGGCTTCCTCCCATTCACCCACCTTACTGTGTTTGTACCATGCAAGACGGGCTAGAGAGAGAAGGGTTGGTACATGAGCTTTAAACTCTACCAGGACAGAGGCCGACTGATGAATATTATTAACATTGCATTGTCGATAAAAACCAAGCAGAGAGGACTTGATCTGACGTTATGAAGAGTCTCACTGTCCTACCTTGAGTGGCTGTTCAGCACCTCAGGAGGGGCTCTGCTCAAATACAAGCTAGACCAATACTAACGGACACTCCTCACCACCCTGGGGAACCAGCCAGGATGCCCAAGCATAGTAGCCAGGCGGTGTTTATTTAACCATAACTCCTGAGCCCATCCAGCTTGTTTCTGTTTCTTTACCTTTAGAACTAATTTTCCTCTGGGGACCACACACCATTCTGGTGCCTGCCTGTCTTTTTTAATGAAGGAAGAGCTGTGACAATTGCTGTTGAATTTTTAAGCATACACAGAAGAGTGAGGCCAATGGCCTTGGGACTACGGTTACATTTCAGTATTCTAAAGAACTCACCATGGGGACTTCATTTGGTAGAGGTCTGTGATAATCAAGAACCAAGAGGAAAATGCCCCTGGTAAGGAACTTGAGAGTGAGATCCAGAATGGAACAGTAGGGACCCCCAGGGGGGAATGTACCTACTACGGCTCATCAGCATGAGTGACTCCTCCAGCAGGCTTATTTTCTTCTGCTTATTTGATCCTTGTCCACACTTACGTATTGTAGGGTAATTTCTCTAACCACCTTTTCTCCCGCAACACACTGAAAAAAGAAAAAGAAAAAAAAAAGAAGAGAAAAAGGGGGAAAAAGTCTGCTTTATTTTACAGCTAATTTGCTGTAAGCACATAGCCCAGCTGCTCACAATGAAGCAAAAGAGGAAATGGGAACAGAGGGAACCTTCTAATGAAGGCGGGCGGGGGAGCAGTAAGGAGATGCAAGAGTGGGCTAGGTGCTATCTGTATGATTAAAGACAAGCAAAAAACAGTAGTAAGCAGATATGTTCATTTGAGCCCAGGAACAGAGAAAGAACAGAGAAGAATCAGTGAAGGGCAAATAATTGGTTCAATATGGCATTTTAACTGGTCAGAAGAATCTCCCCCTTCTTTGCATTATATGAAGTTATATTTTGGACTTTGCTCTTGAATGTATTTTATCATTGGTTCATAGACAAAGGATAAGTCCAAAAACAGAGATAGATAGATAGATAGATAGATAGATAGATAGATAGATAGATAGATAGATATTTTAATTGTAGTTCTGCATGAAAGAGCTCAGAATAGAGGGTTTAACTGGGTGGAGAATTGTTTGAATGGATTAATCCAGGGGTCACTGGGAAAAGGACATCCTCGACTTCTGAGTTAGCAGACTGCGTGCCTCGTCCTTACAAAATATTTCCTTTTAAAAATAGGAAAGATTACATTCTTTATTGCATGTTCTCCTCTTTCTGCCAACTCAGCACACATATCCCCCCACTCCCCCCAACAAGACCTCCTTTCTTTCCCCTGAAGACCACTTCAGAAAGGGGCACATTTTATACTTTGGTACTTTTTCAAACTGCAGAATATGATATTCATATGGAAATGAAGGATTTTCTGAACTCTCAGCTCTATTTCTTTAATGGTGTATGTAACTCATTATGAGGGGAGTGAAGGGAAGGAACAGCTTATGAGCTAGAAGAAAAAAATAAACAGGTTTTAATATTCGGCTTTATATAAATGTACCGAATTGGTCTGTATGATAACAGGGCCAACATAATTAATTTGAGCCTGGCTTCCTCATTTGTCAGCGAGAGCAGGTTGCAGTGTTCTAAAGCTTCTGTACAATCCTGAAGGAATCGGCCCATCCTCACCCTGGGCTCAGGGCTCCTCTGGAGCCTTCCCCTGGTGAAAGCTGAGGCCCCATTTCCTCTGGCCCAGCTGGGGGCTCTCCAGGCTGGCCTCAGGATCCTCATTCTGAGAATTCTTTCAGCACCAAGGGAGCTCCTTGTCCACCTCATATCCTGTAGCATTTTTTTTGCCTGCTGATCTTCGGAGGAAACTAATGTTTTTAGTTGCTATTTGATAGCAACAATTGGGAATTCCAAGTTCCTAAATTTTAATCCCACTTAGTAACTTGGAATAACTCCTGGATCCTCACAATTGGTGATAGGAACTGAAGGACAGGGCAGTGGAGTGCATGCTCCTCGGCACAAGGGGATAAGAAAAATAAACAAGAGGAAATAAATGGACTCCAAAAAACTTAAGAAGCTCTGTGCAGCTTCCATACCCAAATCAGCACACAAACAAATTAGCAAACAGACATTTCCAGATTCAGGTCCAGGAATAATAAAACACTGACAGTAATTAAGAAAGAGCCAAAAATGTACTTCTCTTAGATTTGAAAATTTTGGATCTTTAACAATGGAAATCTATTTTTTTTTAAATGGGGGGGGGGAGGAATTGGTGGAAAATAGAAAAAGAATAAAACTTGTTCTGAAACTTAAAATGTTGATAGGTGGGGGGCAGGAAAAAAATAAACTATTCTGTTTTTTAGGTTTTTCTGTTCCATTTTTCTCATCACTGAGTACCTGAAACTCTCTGTGTGCTAGCCCAAATGGTCATGGACCCATTTTTAATAAATGTGCAGAAGAGCTGGAAGCATATTACAAGGGGACAGTAAAGTGCCAGACACAACTGAGAAAGGGATGAGAACCTCTCTCCATAATAGTAGGGCGTGTTCCTCAAAATATATTTTATTGAGTAAGACAAAAGCTAGGTGAAGAAATTAGCAATTTGCTATGTGTATTTGTGAAATAAGAGGAAATGTTTATATAAATAAGTATATTTATATGTACATGTACATATAAATCAGTGATTCTCATTGGTGATTTTTGCCTCCCAAGAAATATTGGCAATGTCTGGGGGCATTTTTGAATTGTCACAGCTAAAGGGTTTCTATTGACATCTAGTAGGCGGGGATCAAGGGATGCTGCTAAATATACATAATACACCCAATGCCCATATCTCCACAACAAAGAATTATCTAGGTTAAGAAATCCTGGATAGACGATATAGATAAAGACCGAGTGTGTGCATTAGCCTGGGTATATATTTGAAAAGGAAAAATCATGAAAATAGAGAAAGGATCACATCTCAAAGAAGAAGAGAATTGGGTTGCAGAAATAGAACAGATCCAAGATTTATATTAGACACCGTGTAAAAGATTTGACTCTGAAATTGTGTGTCTATTTTACCTTATTGCCAGGAGAATGAACTTACAAAAAGAGAACCCTAACGTTCCCCAGCATAAAAGCACTCAACGCTATGCTATGACTAGCCCACATAACCACACAAAGAGGAATCAGGGACTCTAAAACACAGATGTTGACTACATAGTCTCAAGGGGGAAAAACCTAAAGACAAAAGAACAGAAAAAAAAAAAATTTTATTTGTTTCAGTTATATTTTTGATGGTTGTCTTGGTATTTTATTTTTAAACTCTTTGGTGTATATTGTAGGATTTTTTAAAAAAATTAGTAATTACGTGATGTCATTGAGAATCAGGATTTGGGCATAGAAGAAAGAGATACAGATAAAATATAGAAGGTAATTTAAAATACTTTAGTCCTGAATTGAAATTGGGAAAATCAGTACAAAATCTAAAAAAGATTTATTTTCTAGTTTTATTCTCTGAAAGCCTAGAAGTAATAATCAATATAGCAGCAATGAGCATTCTTAGTACCAGATCGTGGTCACTAAACATCATATTCTGGGAAGAATAGGTGATTCCTAGTCTGAAGAAAAAATGTACAATACAGGGATAAAATATTCAGTAATAGTAGAAAGCAGGAAACTATCAAAGCTACATTATGTTAAAAGGTACAAAATACAACATGAAGAGGCTCTCACTGACCAAGCATGGAACAATCAGAACATAATTACAATGAGTCAAAGCACAGCGTATTTTAAACAAAATAATTCATCTTTGCCCAATACTAAAAAATCAACTATTCTGAAAACTAACAAATAGGAAAAAAAAAACAAGCATTCATACTGCTATTGCTATTGCTATATGAACTGTACATCTAGGTAACAAAATAGTTGAAAATAGATCAGATAGACAAAAGGAAGCCAAATAGACAAGCAAAGCTTCTTTTTGTAGTTGTATTTTAGATAATTACTAATCAACAAAGTAAGACACAAATAGAATATTGCTCTCCCTATTGAACTAATCATAATTCTAGACAATTAGAAAAAATATGAACACTGACAGGGATTTGATACTAAAGATTTTAAATTTTTAGATTGATTATGGAACTACCATTGCTTTTTTTTTTATAAAAGTCCCCTATTTTAGAGTTATATGCTTAAATGTTTATGGATGAAAGAATATAACATTAGAGATTTGCTTGGATATAATCCACAGAGGGGAGTGGAGAAGAACAGCTAACACAGACTGACAATCACTGGAAATGGGCAACAGGGTAGGGGTTTCAGTATACTCATCTATTTTTATATAATATTCAAAAATTTTATAATGGCAATGTTTTTTAAAACTTAAGAACGGATGAAAATTAGAAAAGAATGGATGTTCTTTAATTTCTCGTCACAGGAGGAGCATTGGCAGCAATCTTTCTGGTGCAGATGTGAGGACAGGAAGCATACTTTGAGACATGCTCTGTTTGAGTCCTGGAATATCCTCAAAGAAGTTCGCTTCCTCCCTACTCTGCACACTTGATGCTCAACCATCCTGATCCAATAAGAAATTGTACGAGGAGATGCTGCTGCTTCACCCCTTCAGGTCAATGCCCACTGGTCCTGGAATCCGCTCATTCTGATAGATGCTATAAAACAATAATATCAACTGCCACTTATTGAACAGCTTCTGTGGGCCAAGCTGTCTTGTAGCTCTGTCTACAATAAAAAGGCCACTAATGTTCCCATTCCATAGTCATGGAAATAATAGAGAAATAGCCACACAGCTAACAAGCATCTCACTCAGGATGTTGACACAGATCAAAGAATTCTTGGCCTTGGCACAGTAACAGATCCACACGTGACTGAGTGGCTCGGGCTAGGATTTCCCTGTCTCTAAGCTCATCAAAATTATTTTATAACTTTTCGTGCTAACGATCATCCAACTAGAATGTACGTCAGAGACACCTGGGAAATTTGCTTAAAATGTAGACTCCTGGGAACGGGAACACCCTGAGAGATTCTGATTCCATATGTCCAAGGACCAAGGCCCAGGAATCTGCATTTAGCAAAAGATTCTGGTGCAGATGGTCTGAGAACAAAACTTTAAGAAACACTTCCCAAATCCATCACAGTCTTAGACTTCAAATGTTATAATCTGATCCTAGACTCTTTGGTTCCTGGCAACACACCCCCTTAAATGAATAAGCAGTTACTCAAGAGCTTCAGATTGTCTCTCTGCTCCTGTTCTTTCTTCTGCCAGAATAATATACTCATCATCTTCACAGTTGTGATAATAAGTACACTAGAACGAATGTTCTGGGGAGTGCAAAGGCCATACCAACATTTACATGCCCTTCCTCAGACTGGCCACCATGCGCTGAATTCAAAACGACAGAAGCTCAGCACTGTAATTTACCATTAAGATCAGCAGTGTAATCCTTTCCGTTCAGCTCAGTTTCTATCATAACCAAACACTTGCCAAGTGCCGAGTGTTGGGACATGCAGGCACTACAGAGAAGAACAGGACACAAGATTTTCTTTGGAAACTGTCTAGAAGTTTCTTGGTGATCAAAACCTAAGCAGGGCTTGGAGGTCTGCCAGACAGAGGACAGGGGAATTTCTGTGTTGAACGCAAAAAGCAGTGGAGTCCCAGAGAGGCCCAGTGACCTGCCCACGGTCATCTGCTCTTTTGTTTCAGACAGCTCAGAGGAAGAATGAGTTCAAGTTCTGAAGGAATTACATAATATACCTGTGGTCCTTGAAGCCTTCTGCAGCCTCCCCAGGGACTCCGGCTTGTACTACATAACTCTTCTCACAATCCAGTTCATTTTTGCTCAGGATTTATCAGCCACAAAAATGAGTTTAACCTTTGGAGCTTCAGTTTGGCACCTCCTGCGTTTCCACCCTCAAATGTTGTCTCCCACCCCATCTGGCTGTGGCAAGACTCCTTCAAGGATCAGACATCTCTAAAATTAGGCATCGGCTGAGATTTATGCTGATTCTCTTGATTCAGTCCAGACTTGTCAACGTCCCTGGAAGCAAGCAAACCGTTCCATAAATTACTGCAGCCTTTAACCAACCAAACTATTTTTAAAGGGTGGTCTATATCAAATGCAATTAAATCTGAATTGTTGCCTCAATAACTCTTGCCTTCTTTTTTTTTTTTCGCCCTGTTCGCTTACATCCTCAAGTATATTTCGCTTGCACTACATTAAAAGCACCGTTCATCACTTTTTCAGCCTCTAGAGAAATGCTAAGAGTGGTGACATTTTTTGTTTCTGGAGGTGTGGAAATAAAGTCTCAGCACACCACTCCTGTAAATGCACCCTGGTTGGGCACATCCTCCTGATCCTGACTCCAGAAAACATTCTGGAGTGAAATAATGGAGGTACCTAGCAATTGAGGTTGGGGAAGTTCTAATGTCTCCATCTGTTTTGGTGATTCTGGTTTGCACACATGTGGGTGAGTCCTCTGTTACCTGACTACACTGTGGCCACAGGGTTCGGAGTCAGTCCTAGACAGAGCCAGCCTCCACATGCACCCTCTCTGGAGTTCTCCCCTGCATCTTCTATACTGGGGCCATGCAGATGGAAGAGCCCCCCAAATCCCTTCCCTTTTTGCCCAGCCATTGTCCAAAATATCTGAAAATAATCTGAGTTGTCGCAACGAGAGAGGATGTATTTAATAAGGGATCTGGCTTCTCCATTTTTTGTCATTTGATGGCTGACAGGTTTGAACCACACTCCTCCCTCTTCCAGTACATCTGGGCAAGCTGAAAAGAAAGTCTGGGTGTCCCCTCCTTGGGACTGGTGGGAAATTAAGACCATGAAATCGGCCGTGCCTGGGACTTTCACACTAGCCTCGTCTGTTAAGTATAATAAAAACCCAGGCCAGTTTCCTTTCCTTGTTTATCAACTTAAGAAGTCACTTCATACCTGCTTGAGTGGGTCAGCTCTGCTCTCCCAAGAGACCTCAGTAATGTGATAAACATTCCCAGAGCTTCTTGGTGTCTATGGAGCTTCATCACTCCTACAACCAGATCACATTTTAGATGGGAGCCCATCTGCTTTTGCAGGTGACCAGAACAATGTGTTCTTCCTCCCAGCTGAGATCAAAATTCCTAGCCCAAACAGGTCAGTGAGAGACCCTTGGACCTCTCTCACAGCAGCTGGGAACCTACGTGATCTCCACACACCAATCACCTTGGGGTTGGCTGAAGCTCCAGTTTGCATTAGTCAGAAACCATAATCATGCCCTGTCCACAATCTTTTCTGCAATTAGTCACCTACGTCCTGACACCTAAGCCTTCTCTGCCATTGGAAACCATCCATACCAAATCATTCTCTCTGGCCACCTCCAGCCCAGTCCTGCCATCAGCTCAGAATGAAGTAATAAGATGCCCTCTTTCAAGATGCTGTATTGCCATCTACCAGAAAAAGGTGGTAATAGCTATTTAAATCTATGGTGATTAAAATATGGACAGCTCCCCCTGGAGTTGTGCAATTCACAGACTACAAAACTATAAGTGGAGGCCCTCTTCCCACTAAGGCTACTCCTAGTCCTTCCCTGAATTTCAGCAGAGACATGAGCTCATACCAAACTAGCAGCCTGGCAAGACCCAGGCTTTTTTGCCATGTGGATCTCAACACCATCGTGCAGAAGGAAGGGGGGTGGTTGTTGTACCTTCTACATCCCTCAACTGAAAGTTCATCATCCAAGCATTTAGTTCTTCCCCATGGGGACTATCAATATTTTGAGTGGCATATTCTTTGTTGTATGGGACTAACCCTTACTGTGGGATACCCCAGCAACCAGTGCAAAGTAGCAGGCCATTCTCTAGTTATTGCAGAAACCAAAGGCACCCCTCCCATTTCCATATGTGCACTAAAATGATGGCATCCCTTCTCTCCAGCACATGCACAGTTGAAGGCCACATGATGATCTATGTGCATCTGCCACCATCTCTAGACTTGCTCTTTGGGAGGGTAGCTATCTCACCTTCCACAGATCTACATTCCCCAAAGTGCCTATCATTTAACCTGAATTGAAAAAGAGCACAGACCAGTAAAAACAGAAAATCAGAACTCACAGTTGCTCATAGGGCAATTCAAGTTCTCCTCTTCCTTTTTTGCTGGGGAAGAGCCCAGGCTAGATCACCTCTCCTGAAACTCAGGACGCCTTGTCCTATACCTGTCCTTGCAATTGAAGAGCATCTGCTTGTGCCCATTATTGCTCTCATCACTCACAGCATTAATGTAGATCATTATAAAATTGCTCATATCACCTCATTCCCTCAATACAGTTGTCCCTTATCCATGGATATATGAGTTATATGAAAATAACCTCTCTCTCAAAATATCTTATTGTACGTTCAGTTCTTTATTTAAAGAAAGCTTTACAGCTTCTCTTTAAAATATTTGAATGGCCAGAATCACTACTTTTGCACTTTGGACCATTCTTAAGTAAAGTAGAGGTTATATAAGTATAACCCCTTGAATATAAGTACTACGATTCCACAAGAGTAAATCTCATAACTGTGACTGCTACCAAGTGACTGATGGGTGGGTGGGTAGTACATACAGGGTGGATACATACACCCGCAAAAATTGACAGTGGGAGATTTCATTATGCTACTCAAAGTTGCATGCAATTTAACACTTACAAACTGGTTATTTCTGAAACTATCCATTTAATTCTTTTTGGACTAAGGGTAACTGATTCTACTAAAAGCCAAACTGCAAATAAGAGGGATAAGAGGGTACTCCTATTACTGATAAACAGGTGGCCTTCCCCCCTGTGCCTAGGGAAATGGATGACAAATGCCTTCTGCATGGGAAATGAAGAATAAAAAAAGACACACACTGACAAATAGAAACCCTGGGTCTCTCATGACAGAAACAAAATTGGGGAAGTTGCTGCATCAGGAGTTCTGTCTTACCTTCTATTGCAATCTTCTAAAGTTTTTAAATATTTCTGTTGAATAATTAGGGCTGGCTGAGAAGGGCTAGTTATCTACCTATCAATGGTATTCCTTGATAATTGAAGGTTCTGTTCTGATACCCACTCTCAAGAGAAATGACCCTCCTCCTACCTCAGTTATCAATCTAAGTCAAAGGATGGCAAAGTATAGCCCAAGTCCAAATCTACCTTGCCAACTGTTTTTGCCTGGCCTGGAGCTAAGAGTGGTTAATATGATGTCAACTTGGCTGGGCCACGGTACCCAAATATTGGGTTAAACGTTATTCCAGATGTTTCTGTGCAAGGGTTTTTCTATGTGATTAACACTAAAATCGGTGGGCTTTAAATAAAGAAGATGACTCTCCCTAATACAGGTGAGCCTCATCTAGGCAGTTGAAGGACTGAATAAAACAACACTGACCTCCCCTGAGCAAGAGGGACTTCTGCCAGCCGAAGACCTTCAGACTTCAACTGCAACATCCGGTCTTCCCTGGGTCACCAGCCTGCTGGCTCTGCCTGCAGAGTTTAGACTTGCCGGTCATTCATAATTGCATTAGCTCATTATTTAAGTTCAATCTCTATTTCTGTATACACATCCAAATATTTCTGTTTCTCTGGAGATTCCTGACTACCAAAATGGTTTCTACTTTTCGTAATGGTTTTATTTTAAAGGATTATATAAATACCACATAACGTCCTTAATTTTGCCTCATGGACAACAAAGCCTGAAATGTTTACCATCTGGCCCTTTAAGTTTGTTGTTATCAGTTCAAAGCCAACCATCTCCATTCTACTCGCCTTGCCTGGGACTGGCAGTGACATAAGTCTGGCTAGTAAGATAACAGGGAAGTTCTTCTACGGACTGATGGAAAAGGCTCATTTTATCCCAAGAAGGAATAACAGGAATAACCAAAAGTGATGGCTGGGCTATTGCAGCCATCCTGCAGGCCTAAGGTAGGCTGGCCTAAGTCCATGGCCACCTCCAAGCAAAATGATGGAAAGGGTCCTCTGTGACATCATAGGGCTGTAGCAGCAATATACTATGTCAATGCTTTTTGCTAGGCAAAACAACATATCACCTTAATTTCTAAGATGCTTTGAGTTAGAGTTCTTATTAATTACATACAGCTAAACACATCCTGATGAACGTGAAGGGCCAGGGTGATTTCATTTTCAGTCCTGATTAACTGGTGACAGAGCTAGACAAGTAGACTTTCTCATCTAAACTGAGAAGACTAGCATTTCTAGCAGTGAGCCAAAGTATAGTTTTTCACGAATGGACTGAGAGTAGCTAAGTGGATTCAGGTGATTTCATGCTAGCTGGTGTTTTGAAGGAGCTGTTGTATAACAAATAAAGACGGCACCCACCACCCATCTTTCTTGCATTTATTTTCCTTTTTGTTGAATCTCAAAGGGACCTAATCATTGATATTTTCCCAAGAAAGAAAGTCTTATAAAAATACCAACTGTGGGCTTGGGATGTAGCTCAGTGGTAGACCACTTGCCTAGCATGTGTGAGGCCCTGGGGTTCCATCTTCAGAACTGGAAAAAAAAAAAAAAGCAGTATTCACACAAAGAGGAGGCAAACCATACACCCCCCTGATCACAGTAGGTTTTGTGGTTGTTATTTGTTTGTTCTTTAATAGGGCAAGCAATTCAATTTCACCAGCTACTGCTGCATGGAAGTTCTAATAAGCAAGATCTTCCTTTTCCCTTGACTGCTCGGCCTTCTGCATGCCACAGAGTCCTGCAGTTGCTAGATGGTTACCCTCACTGCAGCACCCCCTAGTGGTTGCCACTTCTACTGCACCCATTTCACAGGTGGAACAGAGGAGGTTCAGCAACTTTCCACAGACTCTACAAAGTATGGCTCACTGAAGCCAGTGCCATACAAAGAGCAGAGAGATTTACAAGATCCCTCATGCCCCAGCTGCCTCCTTTTGGCTTCGTTCCTCAGATAATTACCTCCTGCCCTCCCAAAAGTTGTCCACGAGACCCCACCAGCCATGCAGGTGACTCACTGTAACTCCTCTCTACCTGAAGGCTTCCATGTATGAGTCTGAGACTCTCACCT